ACAGCCTAAAGCGATGAGAAAGAGAAACCAGTCTCTTTATTAAAATCATGTTATTGCATTAAGACCTCAGCATTAGTTGGAAATTTGGGGTTTACTCTAATTTTAAAATATAATTTCAAAAATCTTCTACATTTCAAATTTTTTTCTAAATTTAGAAACCTAGAAATCATCATATGCTGTGAAGCATGTTTTCCTCATGTTTCCTAATGCTGACATTACTACGGAAGAGGATTAGGGCCACTGGAAAAAAAAAAAAAGTTAACTGGTTTTAAAATTTTATTTCAGTTTAGTATGGGAAAAAAAAATCAGAATTCTGACTTCTCTTAGAATTCTGACTTTAATCTCGGAATTCTGACGTTTTCTCAGAATTCTGACTGAATTCTGACACTAAAAAAAGTCAGAATTCTGACTTTTTTCCCATACTAAACTGAAATAAAATTTTAAAACCAGTTAACTTTTTTTTTTTTTCCAGTGGCCCTAATCCTCTTCCGTAGTAATGTCAGCATTAGGAAACATGAGGAAAACATGCTTCACAGCATATGATGATTTCTAGGTTTCTAAATTTAGAAAAAAATTTGAAATGTAGAAGATTTTTGAAATTTTATTTTAAAATTACTGTAAACCCCAAATTTCCAACTTATGCTGAGGTCTTAATGCAATAACCTGATTTTAATAAAGAGACTGGTTTCTCTTTCTCATCGCTTTAGGCTGTCTTGTTTATCTGCCAGCCAACTAATGCCAGAATGTAGCAGTGGTGTTTTTTACGCACGAGATGCTCCTGCGTAAAAAACACCACCGTTACCACATCGTGTCAAAACACTACAGAAAATAACAACCAAAGATTCTCCAATCTGTTTACCAAATGGCTTCTGAACAATAAGAGATCAAGTAGATTTAAAACTATCATGACAAAAAATAACAGATAATGAAAAAAAACTAGAATCTGTCCAATAATACAGAAAAACAGCAGCGATCAGTTGATAGGGAAGAAATAAGAGCAACTAACATGAAGCAGCAAAAACCCACAGATAAGGTTAAAGTGCCAATAGCAGCATTTGAGCCTCAATAGCTGCTGCTGAGGTGCAAAATCTACCCGGAAATAATAAGCATATAAACCTGGTAGTAGAATATCAAACCTTTTAGCTTTTTTTTTTGCTTTTTACAGGGTAAATCAAGCAGAACAAGCCGATATTAATTCTTATTTTGTAAGCAGACAGCTCAGACAGCGATACTATAATTTGCTGCATTACCTGCATACCATTCACTCTATTGCAGCGATGGAAGAAAGCATTTAAATGTTCAAATCATGAGTGCTCTTGTTTTGTTAAGATAAAATCTGTCACTCTTACTCCGAGACCTGGTAGCATCTAAATGTTGTGGCAGCTTTCAATTCTTTTAGTAATTGTAATTTATTCAACTAATTGATTCATCTAAAATTTTCAAAAATTAACATTTCTAAGTACATACTTTTGACACATAATATAAATGTAAATAACAAAAACTAAAAAAAGATATGGACAAATATATGTAATGATATATTTATAAAACAAAACTTTTTAATCTTAAATGGAAATAGTCTATATTTTTTTCTAAAATGCTGTCGTAAGTTGGTTATTGTTTCAGAAAGTGGCCTGTTTTAGTGTCTGAGCCACATTATTCTGGTAAACATTTGATTCATTTACCAAATTAGTCGATGTTCATTTAATTAATTGATTAATCTGATTAATTGTTTTAGCTCTAATACCAAATACCACCAATGTTGTTGCTAAATGTTCAACAAAACAGGTAAATTCCTTTTTTGTTCCACATGAAAGTTAAAAAAAAGAATTAAAAAAAACCTAATCTGCACCGTTAACCTACAGTAAATACTTGCTGACACCTAAAATCATCATATATTTGTGAATTATCATAAAATCTGTAAAACTACTGATGACAATCCTGAAAATTTCACATAAACATATCAGATAATGAGAGAATTCAGATTAATCTTCCCTATATTACATTGTGACATATTGAATTTTAACACCAAGACAAATATTTAAAATAAGCTGTAGATAATAAAAACCCAAAGAGTTTTCTACCTTCCCCTCTAGATGTGGAGATGAGGCTCCTGTTTGCTGCAGTATTCTACCAAATAAATGTCTTCATGTTGTCCTTTATCTCTTATAGACCTAAAAAAAAAAAAAAAAAAAAAAAAAAAACTCAAATGACCTCCAGCTACTCAAGACTACGAAAAGCGAAACAAAAAAAAAATGAAAGGAAGTTTTTCATAAAACGTTTTGCATTCTCTTGCCTACCGTATGAATAGCTCATTTGTAGTAAATACTGTGATTGAAGTTTAACCTCATTCCTTCACGCTTTCAAAATGCATGTGTGGGTGTTAGTGAGTGAAAACGAGACAGAGAGAGGATACTCATTTCAAGATATCGTTTGTCATTTATAGATTACCCACAACAAAGTCCCTTTTTTAAAAACGAAATAAAGAGCAAGGTGACTGTCAGCTGTAAAGGCTGTAAACTTTCTCAACAATCAAAGTTCAAATAATGGCTTCCCCCCGGTCTGCTTTTGGACCAGATGTCACAGAGCGTAACGATCGGCCCTTATGAGTCTTTTATAACTCCACGTATTATCTTTGTTGGCAGCCAATGAACAGGAATGTTATGTGTCTAAAGGTGGGTGTGAAGGAGGATCATGGAACATGACATATTTACAGCTCACTTATAACATACTTCCTGCTGAGAGTAAAAGTCTATTAAAATGTGACTCCTTCACACAAACAATAGAAACACAGCAAACCAGAACTACCTGATAGTAATCTGATTAAAAAAATAAATAAAAAAACATAAAACTAGTACTAGCATGATGACAACAGGTTGAGGTAAAGTATCAAATGCTGTAAAATATAGGAAAATTCTGTGTCATAATA